CCCCCAGACTTCTGGCTGACATCGGTAGTCACCCAGAGTCTCCTGAGATACTGATGTCACGTACCCCAGGAGCCATTGGCTTCCCCCACAGACCAGGAAGATGCGTCTGGTGTGGCGTCATCGGGGGCCAGCTACAGGAGACAGCCGGCTACCGATGACAAAGAAAGCCAAGATGGCGGGATGGGACGCGGGGGAGACGAGGACAATGCAGGATTTGCTGGGTTTGTCCTGAATGGATACATGGGGGGGAAGGTCCGCTTTAAGTCAATTTGGAAATATTTTTACTTTGTCTTATTTCATACGGCCTAAATGTTTGTGGACACCTCACCATCACACCAGTATGGACATTCCATTCCAAAACCACGGCCATCAAATCTCAAATAAAACATTGTAGACAATTGGGCTCTTCCAGCTTTGTGGTCAGCTTGGTGAAGACCCTTTTCTGTTCCACCATGACTGACCCCTGTGTACAAAGCCAGCTCCATAAAGACATGGTGTGACCAGTTTGGTGGAGGAACTCAAGTGTCCTGCACAGAGCCCTGACCTCAACCCTACTGAACACCTTTGGGATGAATTGGAACGCTGATTGTGAGCCGGGTCTTCTCATTCAACATCAGTACCTGACCTCACAAATAGGACAAATTCCCACAGACACCCTCCTAAATCTTGTGGAAGCCTTTCCAGAAGAGTGGAGGATGGTAGACACAAAAGGGGGTTTTAATGGTCATGATTTAGAAGAGGACGTCCAACAAGCTCACATAGGTGTGATGGTCAGGCGACCACATATTGTATACATTTCGAGGTTTCACATGCAGAACATTTTCCATTACAACACCAAAGTAGGAGTTAGGCCCAAGACCGTACTCACTTCTACCTGACTATAGATGAGGTAGGTACCATCCATCAGCACCTCCAGTTCCCCGCTGCGAGTGTGCAGCTTGAACACCCTGTGATTGATGGCCGTCCACGACCAGTCATGAAGGATTCCACCTGCAAGATCTCAGTGTGAGAGAACGTCGTCACTCAGTACATGTTCCTAATAACAGCAGATCATCAACAGATACACGGCACAGAAATATGTACAATTCATGAGCGGCCGCAACATTCAAGTCTGTGTGAGAGAAGAACATTCACTTCAATCCGAATGATGGACGAAAATGCGGCGTCTTTCCTCACCCAGACCGTCCATTCAGTGATCTCCAGACCCCGCACCCCCCTCCCTCCAGTGCCCGACAAGTGGCCCATTGGTGTTCATTGTGCAGCCCTCAGGACCCCTGCACACAATAGTTGGTTTTCTGTACCTAGGTGCTTACTCAGTTTAGTAAAAGGGAAATCTTCTTCCAATTGACAAGGTTGTCTCTGAACATCTCCCCTACTGCGTCTGCCGTCTCTGACCGCCTCCGTAACTACGTCTGCCGTCACGGACCGCCTCCGTAACTACGTCTGCCGTCACGGACCGCCTCCGTAACTACGTCTGCCGTCACGGACCGCCTCCGTAACTACGTCTGCCGTCACGGACCGCCTCCGTAACTACGTCTGCCGTCACGGACCGCCTCCGTAACTACGTCTGCCGTCACGGACCGCCTCCGTAACTACGTCTGCCGTCACGGACCGCCTCCGTAACTACGTCTGCCGTCACGGACCGCCTCCGTAACTACGTCTGCCGTCACGGACCGCCTCCGTAACTACGTCTGCCGTCACGGACCGCCTCCGTAACTACGTCTGCCGTCACGGACCGCCTCCGTAACTACGTCTGCCGTCACGGACCGCCTCCGTAACTACGTCTGCCGTCACGGACCGCCTCCGTAACTACGTCTGCCGTCACGGACCGCCTCCGTAACTACGTCTGCCGTCACGGACCGCCTCCGTAACTACGTCTGCCGTCACGGACCGCCTCCGTAACTACGTCTGCCGTCACGGACCGCCTCCGTAACTACGTCTGCAGAATACATTTTGAAGTGCTTTTTGCTTGCTTAAAAATCCTCCCAATCTGCCCCCCCTATGTAATGTTGAGGGGGCCGGGCTAAGTTATGTTTATTCTAATTAACCCCATCTGTCCTGTGCTGGCAGATCACCTTATTAATTGTAAACTAGATGTAAACATGGTCTGTCTTGTTAAAGACTTGGAAGCATTGTATGTTAATGAGAGGAAGCGAAGTCTGTCCCTCTACTTCAAACTGCTCAGAGTAGCCTGGAATCTGCACAAAGGCCTCCACAAAAGAAACATCTAAAAAGGTGAGAAATATTTTTTACATTATATTTCATTCTGCTGTGTGAATGGGAACACAGAACATAGAGAGGGATTCTCAAATATGACTGCAGAAGTGGAACAGATAGTGTAACAGATGGAAGTCAATCACTCTGCATGTCTGGTATGTATCTCAATTGTGTATTTGCAGCTTTGGTTAGATTTCCCATTTACAGGTAGAGTGATCACAGAATGTTCCTTGGGCTGCACCAAATCCACCCGAATTCATACATGTGGGCACTTAAACTGCCCGATAATTGGCATTGATTTCTTACCATTCTTCACTTGTATCGCTGAGCCTTGACCCTGCAGATGGACAACGGCGGGCTGAAAATGAGACATATATGATGAGGAAGGACATTCCCATTACAATACCCATTATTATAATTTTATGACCAGATGAATAAATGTTTAAAGGTGTAAAGTTGAAGGACAATGAGAATCACATTAATAACCAGACACAAAAAGACCTGGCAGGGCGTGTAGTGCTCATTGCAGGGTTACAAGCGCTACCCATGCCAACCAATCAGCTGCTTGCCTTTATGTGAGGGGGGAAGGGTCAGCTGTCGGTTATCCCTTCTCCAGTGATCTAGAATATTCATATTTTATTTCCATTTGGTAATTATATATATTCTCTTTATCTGTAAAATCAGGAAGAGGATTGTTTGTAAACCAATGTTACTTTCCAGCATCTCCCAATGACGTCACTTTAAGTGGGCAGACATTGAAGTCAACAAGCTGCTGATGGAAAACAGATGGAAAATGGACCAAAAAACAAATTGGAAGTGAACGGGGAGCAGACAGAGCTCGTCAGAAGAAGACACGCTTACCGATGATCACCGCTTCTTTCCCAGGTCAGCAATAAAATAAAAACGGAGGAGGTTTATAAATCAGACTTATATCTGGGATACAAAGACACCTTCAATGGCCCGCTTTCTGACACATGGATAGGAGACCCCTTAAACATGAGGGCCACAATCATTGTAATTGATTTAAAGCTGATCTCCAGGGCTCCTCCCCCTCTAATTGATCACTGGCGTTGCAAAAATAAATGAATACCCTTTTTACTACCAGTCCCGAGTCTTCTCTCTTCCTTCTTTGGGTGCCCATGTCACTGCCTGTGTGAATGGATCCTTCCTATTGGCTGTCCAGCGGTGGGGTCCTCTCAGGATCCAGAAGAGGACTCTTCAGCTATGACATCAGTACGAGGGAAGTTTCAGTGACCAGCCAGTGTGGGCACAATTCTAGATTAGAAGCTCCCAAAAAGAGGGCTGGTGAGGGACCAAGATGGCAGACTTCACCGAGTAGATCTTCTTGCATCACATGATAAGGTACAAAAACATCATTCACGATGTGTGGAAGGGAAGGGCAACTGCCCGTAAATGAGCTTTAAAGACAGGTACCCAAAGTTTAGTTCAGCAACGTTGTTACCGTAGTAACCTTTTAGGTCAGGTCCATATAAAGCGACCCATGCCCAAAAAACCCCAAGCACCGACCACAACCCTCAAAACTCTTCAGATTTCTATACTTCCTGGAGTGTTGGCTGCCCGTGCCCCCCATCTCTGGGCCCCTACATCAGTACATGGTGTAGCAGTCAGAGGAAGGAACTGCGGCACTTGGAAGGGGGCACAGCCATCCAACACTCCTAGAAAAGTCCATGGCGAAGGGTCAAAGGAGCAACGATGAGAGACAACGGCCACCGGAGAGGAAGGATAAAAGTTCTTCTTTTGCAAGGAGCTGCTATTAAGATTTTGTCTTTTGGTGACAACAGTGTTGCCACCAAAAAAAATCAACAAGTTTGTTCAGCAGGAATCAGACAAAAATATACAGTCAGCTTTAGTCCAAGAGCAAGAAATAAAAGACGGGCTTACCGGAGTCTCTTTAGGGGTGGCCTTCTCTGTAGGACCTACCAAGAAAAGGGAGGGGAAAAAAAATCAGCACACTAGCGCAGATCATAATCAAAGGCAAAAGAAGTCTTTAAAAGTGCCATACCAGTGGGTCCTTGATTTCCTGGTGGCCCTTGGGGACCTGGTAGTCCAGGGGGTCCTGGAGGGCCCATTGCATTTGATCCTGGGATTCCAGGGATGCCTGGTATTCCAGGAGGGCCTGGAGGCCCGGGAGGTCCAGGTGGGCCAGCAGGGCCTAGTGGTCCAGAGGGTCCTGGTGGTCCAACCTTCTTTCCTGAAAAGATACAGTTTGGATATACTTGAAAGATCTTCAGAAGAACAAATTTTTAAAAACGTTAGCAAAAAGTGCAGAGACGGGGCCGAGGGAGATAATAAATGAATAATGGATAGAAGTCTTTTAGTTCAAGCAGAAGATCACCGACCATTCATCCAACCAACACTGCAGGTACTCTCCTAGCATGGAAGTATTACTGAAGGCAAAAAGCTGAACATTACACCCTTCCTGTCCTAGAGTGACAACGTCCCCCCACCCTGCCTTTTGGGATGCTAAGGAGCCCAAAGTTCATGAGAGTCCTCTCCAGTACTTTCCCAGGAGAAGGTCCAATAACATCACCCTCTCCTAGGTGGGATCCCCGGAAGCCGGGCGTAAGGCATGTTTTACTTTACTGGCTAGTGTTCTTTTATAGTTAACGGTTACATGTAAGGTCGGGTTTGGATTCACATCTTTGTGTTTTTTTGCCTTATGCATTTCTCACTAAAATCAAGATGGATGCCAGCAAAACATGTCAATGTAAAGTGCATTAACGTGATTCCAATGGCAGTCGAATCACCAATGGTGCCCATTTTCCATCACCTTCTAAAAGGATGCACAGGTCTACCAGACCAACCGAGGGCAGACATTGTTCCTCTAAGGGGGCTTTGCCAATGGCTGGATTGCCTCCTCCCTGGTTTGTAAGCTACACAAAGCCGACCCTTTCATGTTTGGAAATTGGACATGGCGGCAATCTGGTTTTATGTGCTGCCCCTCCCCCACCCCCCCTCAGCTTGTCCAATTATTCTCAAGCTGATGAAAAGCTACAGAATATTGATTAACTCACAATAAAGATAGAAGCTTTAGAGTTTAAACTGCTCCATACAAGGCTGGAGAGATCCCAGGAGCCAGGTCGCCAATGCTCCTGAAAAATTACAGCTGGCGTCTAACTTTTGAGGGTTTTCTATGGTTGTGGTTAATGGAGCTGACTCCTGGATTGGACAGACTGGCTCCTGAATTCAAAATTAATGTCTCCACCCCTGATGTAATATGTTACAAGTCTACCACCTTCGTCTTTCTAGGGGCACCTTTGACTAGTGATCCTCTAAAGAAGGTGTAGCCAAACTTTGGCCGTCCAGCTGGGGTGAAATTACAAATCCCACCATGCATCTGGAAGTGATGCCTATGCTGTGAAGGTCTTGCAATGCCTCATGGGATTTGTAGTTTCCCCAGAGCTGGGCCAACTTTCGCTATCCCAGATCTACAGGAATACACTGCGACTGTCCATCAGAAACAACGGTCAGTTATGGTATCACAAGGCACGCCGAAGAAGAACTCCAACATTCCTACCCCAAGATGGCACAGCGCGTTGGGCCTCACGTAGAACTGATGAATACACGGAACACTCACTACAAAATGACTCTAAAGAGCCAATGATGATCACATCTAACAATACAGCAAATATTTGCAGCCCTCATCTAATCACATCGAGCTCCCACACCACACTTGTGATTGGCCGCTGATGTTACAAGATGGAGCTGATCAAGGTCCTGAAAAATTATTTTTAGACACGGTGACTGTTCTACCTTCCCATCAGTTTTCAGATCTGAAATGAATCTCCGAGACAAAGCGCGCTCAGGAGATGGACTGCCTGATTAGTACGTAATGATGAAGTTACCTCATTTCCTTACATCTTATTACGTGATCTTTGGATGCCAAATATCTGATCACATGGAAGTCCCAGAATTATATTTACGTATTGCTTTCTGCTGCCTGACACCACACATAAAAACAGTCTATATACTCTGTACCAGCCGTGAGAGGTCTGTATATTATGAAGAGTACTCATTACAGCTAAATAAGAGTTGTAGATCCCTACTGATGGTGTCATCCGTTCTCATACCTATACAGGCTTCTGGGCTAGAGAAACCCAACCGGCATCAGACCACCTCCCCAAAATAAACAGGCACCAGACTCCGGATCTGTTCAGCCTTCTCTTTCCTTATACTTTATATGGCCAGAAATTGTTGTCACCCCTTCAAATGATGGAGCTCAGGTCCAGTGAAGGTTCTGGTAATGCTTCATCACATAAAGACATGAACTCTAATGTCTGTTTCATATGGGCGAGAATTAAGGGTGGTGGGTGTAGGTATAACGCTGTGTTTTAAGAATACAAAAGACATTGTAGACAATTGTGATCTTCCAGTTTGGTGAAGACCCTTTTCTGTCCCACCATGACTGTCTCCTGTGTAGAAAGCCAGCTCCATAAAAGACATGGTATGACCAGTTTGGTGAAGACCCTTTTCTGTTCCACCATGACTGTCCCCTGTGTACAAAGCCAGCTCCATAAAGACATGGTGTGACCAGTTTGGTGTGGATGAACTCGAGTGTCCTGCTCAGAGCCCTGACCTCAACCCTACTGAACACCTTTGGGGTGATTTGGAACACTCATGTTAAGTCAGGTCTTCTCATCCAACATCAGTACCTGACCTCACAAATGGGACAAATTCCAACAGAGACCCGCCAAAGTCTTGTGGGAAGCCTTTCTACCAGAGTAGAGAATGGTATGGCCACAAAGGGGCAACTCTGTATTAATGTCCATGGTTTGGCTGATATGCTAGTAGAGCAGTGTGTGATGAATGTGTTATGAGTGCTAGGTGGCCAAAGCTCTTGTGTTATCCTGATATGAAGCATTTTGAGGAGCATTACAACCCAACTCAAGACTCACTTTCTTTTTCTCTTGAAGTTCTGTCCTTGACCACATTTGGATGATTTTTCCTCTTTTTAAGAATGTCATTGGGAGTGGAAAACGTCATTTACTATGATTGTTTGTCCTTGTGACATCCAGACTTGTTGTGGTGCTAAAGCTACGATGATCGGGAGAATAGAAGGAGCCCTATTGGCCAGTGGTAGGAGTAGCCATTTGTTGCTAGGGGTGAATTGAAACACTGAGGGTAAGTCAGGTCTTCTCATCCTATATCTGGTACCCGACCTCAACCCTACTGAACACCTTTGGGATGAATTGGTTTAATATATGTTTATTCTTGTTTCATGGTTATACAATTTACACACGTACACATTCCATTAGACTATGCATACATGTTACTATAAAATATCTTATTTATTAACCCCTTCATGACTGAGGCAAAACAGAGTCCCGGCGGCAAAAGTCGCCGGGAGTCTGTTTAAACAGCCCCGATGCTGGCGACGTACACTGTACGTCGTCAGTCACGAAGGGGTTAAAACATATCTTATTTTACATATATGCATAAATCACACCCTTCTTACTTCTTTCTCTCTCTCTCACACATTCTCCTACACACGGTCCTAAGAGAGAGAATTAGTTTTATAAAACCTGTGCCTCTATGTGTGCATCTTGTGTCAATACCATTATATCAAATCAGACCAACTCCTTACTCTCTCAAACCCATTCTGAAACCAAAACAAACCAAATCCCTTCTCTCCTTCTAGTGTTCGTGATCTTGTGTGTGCTTATATCTAATTACTGTGATTATTCCTTACTAAAAACCATTGTGTATTAACCTCTAATCCCTCTTCTCTCCCCTCCCCAATTAATCATGTGCTCTTAATTTCCATATTTATTATATCTCACCTTCGGGATGAATTGGAACGCCAATTGTGAGCCAGGTCTTCGCATCCAACATCAGTACCTGACCTCCCAAATGAGACAAATTCCCACAGGCACCCTCCAAAAATATATTTTTGTGGAAAGTCTTTCCAGAAGAGTGGAGGCAGTTATATCTTCAGAAAGCAGAAAGGGGGCAACTCCATATTATTGGCCATGGTGTTCAATATGGGATGTCAAACAAACTCATATAGGTGTGATGGTCAGGTGTCCACAAATGTTTGCCACTGTAATGTATATATGTTACATTAAACAAAAAAAGGGCTTTAATTTCGGGACCTCTCTTATATGCTCTTGTTGATACATTACCACTGTGATGGTTCCCAGGACCAAGGCACAGAAAAAAAATCCATTTTTGGTAAGAAGCGGCGATGGAATCCATCACAGAATACTAATCATCTAGATTACATAAAGTTTCAATAAACTGTCCTGACCATGATGGGCATAAAATTTATTTTGGCTGCACAAGGTCTATTGTGCTGGTTGCCTGGACACAGACAGCCAAAAATACATTGTTGGCACATCGTATAATTACAGTTTGCGTTACAAGGAACTGCAGCTTATTATACTGGAGGAAAAGGAGATGGCCAAACCTGGTGTAGAACACAGCATGTGGGTGACCTCTTCTCTGTATGTGCCAGTGACTACAAGCATAGCAGGCTCGGTCTTGCTGACTGAAAAGTGTCATGGGCATACATGAGATACAGAATCAGTATTTAGTCTATAAGAATCATAATAATAGCTACATTCCTAGAGGGTTATAAAGGGGAACAATTACAAGCATCGAGCAACAAATGGCTAGCCCTACCACTGGCCAATAGGGCTCCTTCTATTCTCCCAGATAACACCTCTAACAGCACCAGCACAAGACTGGATGTCACAAGGACAAACAATCATACTAAATTACATTTTCCACTCCCAATGACATTCTTAAAAAGAGAAAAAATTATCCAAATGTGGTCAAGGACAGAACTTCAAGAGAAAAAAAAAATAATCAAGTCTTGAGTTGGGTTTTATTGCTCCTCAAAAGGCTTCATATCAGGATAACCCGAGAGCTTACGCCAACAACCACCCAAAACACATTCATCACACACTGCTCTACTAACATATCAGCCAAACCATGGACCTTAATATGGAGTTGCCCCTTTTGTGGCCTTACGATCCTTCACTCTTCTGGGAAGGATTTCCACAAGATTTGGAGGGTGTAGGTGGGAATTTGTCCCATCTGTGAGGTCAGGTGCTGATGTTGGATGAGAAGACCTGGCTCATAATCAGCTTTCTAATTCATCCCAAAGGTGTTCTATCGGGTTGAGGTCAGGGCTCTGTGCAGGACACTCGAGTTCCTCCACCAAACTGATCACACCATGTTTTCATGTAGCTGGCTTTGTACACAGGGGACAGTCATGGTGGAACAGAAAAGGGTCTTCACCACACTGTGACCACCAGGCTGGAAGACACAATTGTCTACAATGTCTTTGTATGATGGAGGATTACCAGAACCTTAGCTGGAGACACCTGAACCCCATCATTTGGAGGAGGGTCCACGTACTTCTGGTCATATAGTATATCTACATAAACACTTTTTCTCCCCTTCATCATTTGCACCCTTTTCATGAGACATTTACAGATCCAAAAAAACTCCATAGAATAGTCCAGAAGGAGGATTTTTCCCATTAAATACCTGAATTTAAGAAACATGTAACGAGAAGGATGACAAAATAACGTCCACTCATCTTGTGTGTAATTAACCCAAATTAATCTGCAATATACCCGCAGGAACAATGTTTGATGTGTAAACAGTGAAGTCTGCAGCCCTATGGGACGGATCACCGACTTCTGGACCACCCCAACGTTCAGGACACCATTTATCATCCTGTCACTAATTGTTGGACATTTTCACAAACAAACCGAAGACATTCCATTGCTGGGTGGCCTTGGAGAGATGAACGGTGGGAGAGCCCTAAAAAGTCTGACAGAGTGAAAAACGTCCAAAAAACACACCAACGGAATGCAGATATCAGAACACAAAGCATACAATGGTCTTCTGGTCTACATTGTGAATATGAATCAGAACATAACCTGATGAACAATGGCAGAGAACCTTGTGTATAAAAGATAAATCTTCCCAGCTTGGAAATTCCATACAGCAGGCTCGTTTATACACAGACACATGGAGGATGGAGATGTTCTGCTTGTCAGAGCCAATACACAGCTCTACAAACAGAAACATGTAGTAAGGGAAGTGTTCAGGCGATCACTGCCGATCTGTACTTCTAAAAATACTAAGGAGTCTAATGAGGGTTCCAGACCAAAGGCCTAAGAGTGGAGAAGAGTGAAGAAGAGTGAAAGAAGAGAGTGGAGAAGATTGAAGAGCGTGGAGAAGAGTGAAGAAGAGCGTGGAGAAGAGCGAAGAAGAGAGAAGAGTGAAGAAGATTGAAGAGAGTGGAGAAGATTGAAGATGAGCGTGGAGAAGAAGAGCGTGGAGAAGAGCGTGGAGAAGAGTGAAGAAAAAGAGCGTGGAGAAGAGTGAAGAAAAAGAGTGTGGAGAAGAGTGAAGAAAAAGAGTGTGGAGAAGAGTGAAGAAAAAAAGAGTGTGGAGAAGACTGAAGGAGAGTGGAGAAGAGTCCGGAATCGTCTACTAGCTTTACTTAGTGACATTAAAGGATACATTTTATTCCCCTCCCCCCATGTTAATGTCAGCACTTACCTTAAATGATGTCTCTTAATCCGATCTTCTTTCCTGATGTTTTCATCTGTCCCTCTAGCGGTGCGGCGGCACTCCGATCCAGCGCTGCCACCTCTCTGCTAGCAGGCACTTCTGATCTCACGGTGTCTGCATACGGGTGCACGCGTCCATAGACTTACCTTGCATCTCTGCTCGTCTCCCGGCCGAGAATCCGAACTGCGCATGCCCCGCCCCAAGATGCTTTGCGGCCGCCGGAGCAGTTTCGTTTTCTCGCACGGGAGCGCACAGCCAAAACAAGGTAAGTGTAAAGTGCTGTTAGGGCGTTTTTTTTTTTTTTTAAACTAGGCAAAAAAACAGAGGGTTTAGAACCACTTTAAAAAGAAACCAAAAAACTGCCAACACCTTTCGATGGCTCAAAGTCCTCCCCCATTCTTCAGGGCTACACAAGACATCCAGAAGAGTGTGACATAAACCTTTTTGCATCTTATTTGTGGTCGGTTTTGTAGCCATGAAGAGGGGGGAGGTTCCTGAGACACCTGAACATTTTGGAAGTTTCTTAGTGTCTTTGTTATGGGCAAGCACAAATATTAGAAGTTATGGACTTTTGGACCTCTGGTCGGGTGCTCTCAGACTCTAGAACCCTGGGTCCGCTAGTTTAGGGGCACCCTGTTTTGGTATGAAGCAGCCCCCCCCGCAGTCACTTCCCTCCATATGAACTCTCTTCATCCATGACCTACTAATAGGTTGAGTCCAGCGCCTCCAATAAACATGTTCCTGTTAACACTGCTCGCCGTCATGCTGATGTAATGGCTTTAATACCACGTGAGTCACTGACCTGAAATAGGTATACAAGTTCTGAAGCGGAACTCCAGGCAAACATCTAAGTACGCAGTTCAAACACACATCTGGGTGCAGAGGATTGCCATAGGATTTGTAATTCTGTCTAGCAAGTCCTCATATTTACACACTCCAGTCTATTCGACTCCTTGAGCTGGTTTAATAGCGGGTCCCCCCACTGGCTGCTGTGGTTCTTCTTGCTGATTCCACATTAGTGACGTAGGGGTTGGCGGGTGTAACCACCAAGGCCGGGCCAAGGGGTAGATAAGGTGACCACTCTTGGGCACCTTATGCTGCTGATGTAGTTCACAGCTCTTGGGTCATGGGGTGGGGTGGGGCACTTTGACATTGGACCACAGAACCTTGGGCCATACTTGGGAACCACAGTAACCCACCTGGAGCCCAGCTATTCCAAGCGCCAGAAGGATCGGTGACCAGATTTAAATTTTCTACAAACGGGCCAATAGATCAGGTATGTGTGACGCTGCCTCCTTCACAGGGCCCCTAACAATGAACACAACTCTCCATCTGGCTTTTCAATATGAAAATGATAAGATGAAGGAAAAGGACGTCGTTCTCGCTCACCTTTTTTCTTGTTCCTGGCTGCACTTGGATCTGCAAAGAGACAGAAATAAGTCACAGAAAGATTTTGCTCTTAGCAACTGTGATGAAGCAGAATCTGGAAAAGAAGAGACGGGATCAAAGCATTGCGTGCGTGCCTCCGAGAGGGCAAAACACACCAAACATGTTTCCAATAGAGCGGACACAAAGAGGCCTAACAACACAACAACATGTTACTTGGCTCATGTCAGTCTCCAGAGCAGAAAAAAATCTAATTTTACTTAAACTAATCCGGAGAAATGATTTGAAAATAAAACAAACAACCGTCTCCCCTGGAATATGTGAGGAGAATACATTGTTCTTAAAGGAGAAGTGCACTTTATAACAAAGGGCTCATATCATTATTGTCCCTTTCCGCCGACCTAACCGACCCTTCAAAGATGCATGCTTACCTCCATCTACTTCAATGTCCTGACTGCGCATAATGCTCTATAGACGTCTATGAGTCCTGAGATTATCAGAAAGGCCCTGAGGCCGGAGAACGGAGACGGTCCTATAGAAGTCTATGGGGTTAGGTCCTGAGATTATCAGAGAGGTCCTATAGAAGTTTATGGAGCTAGTTCCTGAAGCCAGAGGTGATCGGAGACGGTCCTATAGAAAGCTATGGGCCTAGGTCCTGAGGCTGGAGATGAATAGATCCAGACCTATGGAAGTCTATTGGCCTAGGTCCTAAGGCCAGAGATGATCCGAGATGGTCCTATAGAAGTCTATGGGGCTAGGTCCCGAGGCCAGAGATGATCGGAGATGGTCCCACAGAAGTCTATGGGGCTAGGTCCCGAGGCCAGAGATTATCATCAGAGAGGTCCTATAGACATCTATGGAGTTAATTACTGAAGCCAGAGGTGATCGGAGATGGTCCTATAAAACACACACGATCGCCTCACTGCTTCCTGGGCAAATCGCTAAATCTATTTTTCTGTATGTAGGACATCCTGTCGCACTGTATTCAAAGTATTTCTTTTGTGAATCTGATAAAAATTTTCTTCACTGGAGATCATGACAGTTACAGAAGTTCCTGTTTCTGGCTTAGAGCGCTAAGCCATTGCCTGCCAAATCAGCAGCGTTGTCAGCCTGCCGTAAGAGCTCCTTATATTGGTCGGCGGGCAGTCTATCTGATAGATGTTGGGCTCCCCATCAAGTCTAACTGGAGAAAAACATGCATGGCAGGGTGACAACGCTGCTGCTGCTAACTGCGAGGGCGTGGCTTAGTTATTAACCTGGAACAGGAAGTGCTGTTACTGGCAGGATCTCCAGAGAAGAAACGTTACTTATTTTCTCCAGCCCCATAAATGAAGGTCAGTACCTCCGTATGGACGTGACGCTGGGGGAACAGGCATCAGGAGCCGGTACATTGCACCTGCCATTTATTCATCACAGTTGAAGTGCTTTGCAGGCATGTAGTAGGAGGGGCCTGCTGGGTCCTCACAGCTCTGCTCTCCCTCTCCTTGTGCAGGGTGACTGATCTGGTCTCCGCCCCCTCCTGTAGTTTCCTGTAGTGGGTGCTTCTGCTGGGTCCCTCCCACAGCTCTGCTGCTCTCTCTTTGTGTAGGGTGACTGGTCTAGTCTCCGCCCCCTACTGTAATAAAGACTGGTCACTGCTGCTCTCTCTCCTTGTGCAGGGTGACTGGTCTTGTCTCCGCCCCCTCCTATAATAAAGACTGGTCACTGCAGCTCTCTCTTTGTGCAGGGTGACTGGTCTCGTCTCCGCCCCCTCCTGTAATAAATACCAGTCACTGCTGCTGTTTCTACCCCGGAGTTCAGCTTTCAGCCAGGTACTTTTACAGTGTTTGTATAACAATGGATTGGAGGCCATGGACAATACCGGAGTCATTTTCCAAGTTTCTGCTGCATTGAAAACATTGAGATTTGGTAATCCCCTCTATATCAAAGTCGGCTCTTCGCCATTAAAGCGAAGCCACTCCTGGTGGACGTCCGCCATGGAAGAAAGGCTTCCACATTTCCTGCGCTCCCTCTTTTATTACCCCCATGAGGACGATGGCAGGGCAGCATTTTCTTGAAACAACAAGCCGCCACTGAGCTCCAATCACAACGCATTCTGTATTCATTAAACACAAGACCCGCAATCAGCAAAGTTTTCTTTTGCTGTAGCGGCATACATTCCCGCATAACATAATACAACGGTGTGATTAATTACCACAACATTCTCCACACGACATCCCTACAGGGGGGGTGGGGGGGCTTCCTACAGGATTCCACATGAGGCAGGAATTCCGCACTCATTTCCACATGCAATATTTATTTCAAATGGTTTGAAAACAAAATACCAATTCTCCGGCGGTAAAATAAGTATCCCCCCCTCCCCCCGCGAATAAATTAAATTATTTACACCCGTCGGTCTAGAATGTACATTTCTCTGGCAGACAAAACATTCCGGGGAGCTGCCCGCCGAGCCGTGTGTATAAAACATTCGCCGTCTAGATCAGTACACAGAACGAGAAAATGAATATTGGCAAAGCAAACGAGTGTGAAGTGGATGGAACCAATTAGCTTCAAAAGACCAAACCGGCGGGTGACGAGGAGAGAGCGACAAGTCCGCGTTCATTACGGCTTATTAGTAAGTGTTCAGCTGTCGCTCGTCCGGGCGAGGGGAGGGAAAATAAATACAACTATTCCATGCAAAAATCGCCGCTGACATTGGAAGAGAACCCGGGATTCGGAGAGAAAACTCGACTGTGGAAATGCCAAGACATTCGACGTGGAGCGGACTGATGGGAGCAAACTCCACACGCGGAGGTTTTCCTAAAATGAACAAAGAGGACAACACGCTCATTGTGAAATCATCCTCAAATATACCAATAACTACGGGGGGCAGGAAACCCTGGAGAGGAGAAGATCTACTGACAGCATGGAGGAGATTAAACATCACCGGGGTGCAGCACGGTTTCTGTTTAGAACACCTAGCAAAGTATAAAAGGTCTGACGAGTGCAGGGGTCAGGAGAAGGTAATGCAGTGAGCAGGGGTGAGGAGTAAGTAATGCAGCGAGCAGGGGTGAGGAGTAAGTAATGCAGCGAGCAGGGGTCAGGAGTAAGTAATGCAGCGAGCAGGGGGTCATGAGTAAGTAATGCAGCGAGCAGGGGGTCAGGAGTAAGTAATGCAGCGCGCAGGGGTCAGAAGTAATGCAGCATGCAGGGGTAAGGAGTAAGTAATGCAGCGAGCAGGGGTGAGGAGAAGGTAATGCAGCGAGCAGGGGTCAGGAGTAAGTAATGCAGAGTGCAGGGGTCAAGAGTAAGTAATGCAGCGAGCAGGGGGTCAGAAGAAATGCAGCGAGCAGGGGTAAGGAGTAAGTAATGCAGCGTGCAGGGGTCAGGAGTAAGTAATGCAGCGAGCAGGGGTCAGGAGTAAGTAATGCAGTGAGCAGGGGTCAGGAGTAAGCAATGAGAAATACAGGCCTCAGTACTGTAATGCAGAGTGCAGGGATCAGTAGTATGTAACGTAGAGTGTAGAGGTCAGAAGTAATGCAGCGAGCAGGGGTCAGGAGTAAGTAATGCAGCGAGCAGAGGTCAGGAGTACGTAATGCAGAGTGCAGGGGTCAGGAGTACGTAATGCAGCGAGCAGGGGTCAGAAGTAATGCAGCGAGCAGGGGTCAGAAGTAATGCAGCGAGCAGGGGTCAGAAGAAGGTAATGCAGCGAGCAGGGGTAAGGAGTAAGTAATGCAGCGAGCAGGGGTAAGGAGTAAGTAATGCAGCGAGCAGGGGTAAAGAGTAAGTAATGTAGCGAGCAGGAGTAAGTAATGTAGCGAGCAGGGGTCAGGAGTCAGCAATGCAGAGTACAGGGGTCAGGAATAAGCAATGAGAAGAACAGGCCTCAGTACTGTAATGCAGAGTGCAGGGATCAGTAGTATGTAACGTAGAGTGTAGAGGTCAGAAATAATGCAGAGTGCAGGGATCAGTAGTATGTAACGTAGAGTGTAGAGGTCAGAAATAATGCAGAGTGCAGGGGTCAGTAGTATGTAACGTAGAGTGTAGAGGTCAGAAATAATGCAGAGTGCAGGGGTCAGTAGTATGTAACGTACAAAGTGCAGAGCTCACCTATAACTAACAAATTTTCCCCTCCACAAGCAAAAATAATCCTCTTTCAGTACATACATCTACTCCCTAAGCTAAAATCACCCACAGCAAATCGGTGTGTGGGGGATTTTAGGTACATCTGAGGTCCAGACCTGAGTGAATTTTACAGAGGGAGGGGGGCTCATGGCAACCAACAAGCTTCTCTTTTTAGTGTGTTCAGTTAAGGTTTGAAAATGAAAGAAAGAAGCCGATTGGCTGCTATGGCCTACTGCTCCAGATTCTGTCTGCTCCAATTTTTTTATCAATTCCTCCCCCATTGTGTAAACATGGTCCACTGTATTCGTCACCAGGAAACCGGTCAAGAGTAATGATGTGTAGCTGACAGAGCAGTGAGTGCATGCAGACAGGAACTGGCCAATAAAGCTGGATGAAATCAGTATGTTACACATTGCATACTAAAGAAAACTACAGGAGGGGACAGAGACTAGACCAGTCACCCGGCACAAAGAGAGAGAGCAGCAGTGAGCGGTCTTTATTGCAGGAGGGGGCGGAGACAAGACCAGTCACCCGGCACAAAGAGAGAGAGCAGCAGTGAGCGGTCTTTATTGCAGGAAGGGGCGGAGACCAGACCAGTCACCCTGAACAAGGAGAGAGAGCAGCAGTGAGCGGTCTTTATTACAGGAAGCTCCAAGTTTTGTACAGATCTGGAAGAACACACACAGATCTTATACGAGGACAATGTCTGCTGATCCCGGAGTTCCTCTTTGACACGGTTACCTACTCAAGAAACAAGTCCATCAATGGGATTCCTGCAATGATTTTCACAAACCAAGACATGATTACAATAATTGCTTCATCCGTATGAAAACTTGGTATTAGCTTGAGGAATCCGCAGTTGTAAACAGGTCACCGGGCCTCCGAGGGACCTAATAGGCTCAAAAGGAAAGCTGAGTAAGAAGAAAGCT